AGTCTCACCTTGGAGCCCTTTCTCAATGCCATCCAGTCAAACCCTAACATATCCGGCATGACAGGCCTAACCTCTCAATATAAGATCTCTGCCCATGCAGATGAAATTCTCTTCAAACCCCGAAAGCTTCCTTAAACACTTGATCACAGAAATGGACACATACTCCAGACTATCAAATTTCAAAATCAGTTATGAAAAAAGTGAAATCCTTGCACTCATGATCATGGAACGCAGCCTGCAGACACTCAAATCCTCTTTCCTTTTTAAATTCACCAGAACACACATCAAGTATCTCGGAATAAAGATCACCCCGCAACTTAAAGACCTGTTTTATACATAATTATACAACCCTGCTACAAACACTAACAAATGACCTTGCAAAATGGAACAGACCCCACTTCTCCTGGATAGGCCGCATAAACATTATCAAAATGAATGTGCTTCCAAGACTACTCTATTTATATCAAACCTTATCTATAGGGGTCCCACCTTCATTTTTCGCGTCTATACGCAAATTATTTACTGACCATATCTGGTTCAGGAGAAGGCCTAGACTTTCTTTCGATATACTAACTAGACCAAAGGGACAAGGAGGACTGGGACTCTCCGACCCATTTCATTACTATACGGCGACACAATTTACCAGGATTCTGGTCTGGTGCAATAAGGACAGTCCTAAACAATGGAAAATGTTAGAATAGGAATGGATGGAATATCCACTAGCATCACTTCCTTGGCAGACAGAACCGATCTCTCACTTCTTACAAAGACCACTTCTTTTATGGAAAAAATATGCGAAATCCTTCGCCCTTACCAAGCAATTGTCCCCTCTTTTCCCAATAACTCACAATCCTGCTTTCCCGGCCGAAACCCACACTCCTACAACATGTATCCCTCATGGAAGTGGTTCAGGATGGGGGGATTAAACCTATATCCATGCTATTCAGTAATGTCAACCCCAAATTAATGGACAGGTTCCTGTATCACAAGTTAACTCAATTAATAACGTCACTAAAACCATTAGATAAAACCCCTCAGCTCACTACATTCGAGACGTGGTGTACTCAATGCCGCTCTCTACACAAAGCATTATCATTGGTGTATTCGCTTATACAAGAGGCTGCAGGACAACCCTTACCAAAATACACAACTGACTGGGCTGCAGAATTCAACACCATCTTCACGACATCGGACTGGGACAAAATACTTTTACTCACCCACAGAAGCGACATGAACATATCAATGGTAGAGAACAATTACAAACTACTCATGAGGTGGTACAGAACACTACAAAGATTACACAAAATCTACCCGACTGTAGGTGTAACATATATCCCGAGGCCTCAGTTCTTTGCTTAAATTTTTCCTCACCTGACCCCTAAGCCTATCAAACAATACCGAAAATCTGTAGAGTACTACCTACTCTCAGCTGCTAAGGGCCTGATCCCCAAATATTGGAGGCAACAAACTGACCCCCCACTGGCAGAATGGTATTCTACAGTAGAGAGTATCAGAGGTATGGAAGGAATTAAATACTCTTTAACCGGTCACACCACGTACTACCCATCGATATGGGCTGGGTTGATTGAATATAAGTGAAAAAACGCAATTACCCGTGCCCTTATAACACTAGTACACCTCAACCCCCACTGAATGAAATTCACTTGCAAATACTAGCCAGCTAATTAAGCGAGCAAATGCCAACATGAATATGACTCTCTAGAGCAGACTCGCAGGGCCCAGGAGAACTGGAACTTGTGATTTACACACACACTAGCACTGACCACAGACACCATAATGTACCAGAAAACAAACATAATAATATATAGCAAAAGCACCGACAAACACAAAATCTCTAAGTCCTTAACTTTTATGTTACCAATGTTCACAACTCATATTATCTATGTTTATCTATACCTATGTATAATCAACAGAAACATGTTAATTCCAAGCCCGCGAGACAACACAGGGACGTAAACACTGCATGCCTAGTAAACCACCTGACTCTTAATGTGTGCAAGTACCGCTGATTATGTATGTGTATGATAACCCTGTGGCACCTCGTATTGCTTTTTGTACTACATTGCACTGTTTCTGTATTTTTGTATTTTTAGCTAATGAAAATCAATAAAAATGAAAATAAACACAAAAAAAGAATAAAATCTAATAAACATATTTTGTTATTTTATTAGTTCTGCATGGCATTTTAACTGTGACTGTCATATAACTTTTAACTTTTACTGCAATAAAACACACATATTTGTGTTCAGCAATGTCTCATGAGTACAGCGTTACCCTCCATTTACAGGTTTTATGGGGGTTTCAAAAGTTACAGGGTCATATATAGGACTTTCCCCTTTTCGGTTTTAACACATTGAAATTTGCCAGATTGGTTTGCCTTTGATATTGTAATGTAGCCCAGTAATGAGAATTACCCCCATGATGGCATACCATTTACAAAAGTTTAGAACACAGGGTATTCACAATGGGGTATGTTCAGCATGTTTAGTAGCCACTTGGTCACAAACAATGGCCAATGTTAGCGTTCATACATTGGGTCCCTCAAATTGTAATTAATCAAATTTACATAATTATGTATAAAGATTACATAAATATATATGTAGAATTTAAATATATATATTTATTTTTCGTGTATTTACTAATTTACTTTTTTTTTTTTCTTCATTTTCCAGTTTAGGGGACTGAATAGGGTTTTACTTAGCATGTTTTCTAGTAAATTGATCTACAGTTGCCATTTCTATGCAAAAAATAAAAAACATTTTCCCTTTGTTATTCAATGTGTTTATGCAATGTAAATACATACAATAGGTGGAACACATCTGATGATTCAAATAGAGCTTGAAAGCTTCTTTTTTACAGTCTACTTTTTAGGGAAAAGATTTTCTAATAAACGCAATTCTGAACAGCTTGTACATCCCATACTTCTGGGTTAGTTTTTGTTCATTTTTATTCTTATAGCTAAGTGGTCAAATTCCAAATGTGCAGTGTTTCAAGATTTAGTAATATAATCAAGCCTCTTATAGAAGAGTAGTGTGGAAACACCCAGGTTTGTTGAATAAATCAAAATGGTTCAAAAGTATTTGGAGTTGAGCAGGTTTCTCTGTATGAGCAAGGATCAAAAGTTATGTCAGATTCTGAAGTTGTTGTTCTGAATAGTGGAGGGAGTGGGGTTGGGTGATGTATTGGAAGGGAAGGTAGAGGGAGAGAGGTTAGAGATGTCTTCCCTGATTGTAGAAATCTTCTCAGTGGAGTGAGTTACAAAGTTTGAGGCGGACAGGGTGGTAGGAGGAGGGGGAGCAATAGGACGAAGGAGAGCATTAAAAGTGTTATATAGTTGTTTGGGTTCGTAGCAGAGTGTGGTTATCAGGTTATTGAAGTAATTTACTTTTTCAGAGGAAAGAGCCAGAGTGTAGGAGTGCAGCATACATTTATAGTGGAGGAAGTCATGTACAGAGTGAGACTTTCTCCAACAGCGTTCATCAGCTCTGGAACATTTTTGGAGATATCGGGTCAGCTTAGTGTGCCAGGGTTGTAATTCGGAATGCTTGCTGCATTTAAATGTAGTAAGTGCCACGATGCCAAGTTGAGAGGAGAGAGTGGAGTTATAGGGTGAGGTTGCAGAGTTAGGGCAAGTGAGATTTGAGATGGGTAAAAAGAGAGTTTGGTGGAGAAATGCTAGAGATCAAGGCAGTGGAAATTTCTGTGAGATTGGAGACTTGAGGGTGGTAAAATTTGGGTACGGGGTATGCCGATGTCAAAGGTCAGCAGATGGTGGTCAGATAAAGGGAATGGAACAATGGAGAGGTTAGAGGTTGTACAGAGATTGATGAAGATGAGGTCTAGAGTGTTTCCTGCTGTTTGAGTTGATGAAGTAGACCACTGTGTAAAGCCTTGGAAGGGGGTTACAGAGAGCAGACGGGAGGCATCAGGGCAGTTGAGGTTGTTGATTGGGATGTTAAAGTCCCCAAGTATGAGGGAAGGAGTGCTAGAGGAGAGAAAGTGGGATAGCCAGGAAGAAGAGTGTTCAATGAATAGCCTAGGATGACTTACTAAAGGAAGTATAAACATTAGATGATTCTTTTTAGGAAGTGTTTTGGAAGGCTGTGTAAGTCACATGCAGGGTGATGTTACTAGGACTGCATAAACAAAGTGAATTAACTCCTAAAGGGCAGCAAACTGAGCAGTGATACCGCAGGGGCATGAGCTAACTGCTTCATTAAGCTGAAGTTGATGTGGAGCTGAGAATGTCCCTTTAAGGTAGTTATGTGCTCACCCTGCTAGTCAAAACAGAATAGGGTTTATCCAACTATAGGGAAACAAAAAAGAACATTCTGTATGACACTAAAAAATAACTATATGGCCAAATGGTCACTCACACTTTAACTGATAAAGTAGGGCATGTAGTAATCAAATGGAGCATTCGGGCAGTTCCTTGCTTCCAATGGCTGGTCTTGTAGATCTCAGCAGTATGTAACATAAAGATGCATCCAAATTAAAATACAGGAAAGAATGAATAAAGTATAAAAATAATGTATTACTTACACACAGGTAAGGATCAATCAGCATAAAACACAAGTAAAATCTGTCCACAATCTGTCCAACACGTTTCCTCCCAATCAGGGACTTCCTCAGGGACTTCTTTGCAATGGTGAGACAGGATAACAAATGTTATCACCCTGCTAGTTCATTAAATGCTTGTTGTGGAATCGTATTCACAGTTTCCAAAAATGTATTGAATTTATATTGTCCCTCAAATAGTGGTTAGTAGTGGTTTTGAGCATGAGCTATATGTATTTTGTAATATTTGATGACATTTAGAAGCAGTGTTGTTCTATACACTAACTGGGCTTAAACGCCATATATATATATCTGGGGAGCATACGACCATAGGGAGCACAGGCCACTTTCCATCTGTGTGCCACTATCCATCAAGTGCCAACTTCCAATAAGTGCTCTGAATCCTAAGAGTTTACCAAGTGAACTAACTCAGCATCTTTAATTCTTCCACACACCTGGACTAATGTAAACTAATCTGACATCCCTCTACTCTCATCCACAGGTAATCTCTGGCTCTGATCCCAGTTAACCTCTGCAACGCTGTTTGTCTTACCCCTGCACCCCACGTATTTAGGTAATCTCTGGCTCTGATCCCAGTTAACCCTTGCAACGCTGTCTGACTTACCCCTGCAACCCACGTATTTAGGTAATCTCTGGCTTTGATCCCAGTTAACCCCAAAGAAAGATTATGTCCAAATTCCTATTACTCATGTTACTTACCCTTGCAAATGATGTAGAGTGTGACCCTGGTCCCCCAACAGATTCCTTACCTAGTCCTCCAGCTAAAAAAGGCCTCTCTTTTGTACACTGTAATATCCACAGCTTACTACCAAAAATCGATGCACCGCAAGCATGGTGTTCACATTACAAACCCCAAATCATTGTGCTTTCTGAATCGTGGCTAACTGCAAAAATTCCTGATTCTGCTATTGCAATACATGGGTATTCATGCCATAGAAATGACAGCGCAAAAAGAGGAGGTGGCATTGTCATTTATGTTGCCAATTCCATAAAGTTTACCCCCTTACAAAACTTTAGCCCTCCTGCCACCTTTGATTTCCTTTTTGGAACAATTGAGATTCCGTGCAGTAAATCAATAATTATTGCAGGAATCTACCGCCCACCTAGCTCCCCAGTGCATTCCATTTCTGACATATACAAACACAAAGATAAAGCACCGCGCTTACAGCAGTGGTAGCTTAGTATCCAACAGCTTAAAATACATAGTAAAAACAAAGAGAACGTTACCTGCTCTCTGGCCTAAATCCCCATGTACATTTAAACAAAATGGAGGCTCTTCAGTTTACTCCAATGGCCTTTCTGACATAGCCCATCTCCTTAGTGAAACCATAGCTCGAAACCCAAAAAGTGAACTGTTGGTCTTTGGAGATTTTAATATTGATTGGCTGAATCCTAAAAATAATAGTTCTTGCTTGTTGTTTAAGACAATTAAGACAGCTAACACAATTAATCGCCTCCTCAACTAGCATAAACATTAAAAGCCATAATCATACCCTGCTCGATTGGATTCTCTCCATTTCTCCTGATAGATTTCAGGAGGCAGGTGTTCTCCCTAACAGTTTCAGTGATCACTGCTTAGTGTACTGCGTGCACAAAATAAAGGCTACTAAATCCTCTCCCAAGGTTAAAATCACCAGGTCCTTCAAAAATTTAAAATTGAATCCTTTCAAAATGACATCAAGAACTTTCCATGGCACAGATTAAACCTTATCCCAGATCTAGACTGTGCAGTTGAATTCTTTCAGTCTGAACTCCTACAAGTTTTGAATTTGCATGCACCGCTGCGTAAGGTGAGAGTGAAAGGGGCACATATGAACTGGATCACAGCTGACCTTATTCAAATGTACCAGTTTCAGGATTCATTGTTGTCAAAGTTCAAGCGTACTGGCTCCATGAACGATCACTGTGCATATAGACAATGGCGAAATATATGCACAAAACAAGCAAAATTGGCCAGAGCCCAATATTTCTGTGAAAATCTGAACAATAACATATCAAACCCTAGAAACTTTTGGAAAGTCATAAATAACTTCCAAACTCCCCCAATCGACTCCCAACCCTCCACTGTCAAAGTGGATAACCAAACCCTGCAACTTCTCTTAGATGTAGCAAATGCCTTTAACAATTATTTTGTCGGATACTACCCTGATTGCCAATCAAATAAATTACACACATCCTGAAACTACAAATGTGGATCAGACCCAAATTTGCAAAGACCCAATATAGACCAGTTCACTTTTAGACCTGTACCTATTACTGTCATTAAGAAACACCTTAATAATCTAAAAATTAAAAAACAGTCTGGACCTGATCAAATCCCAGCAATGCTGTTGGAGCTCAGTGCGCCGGCAATTGCTAAACCTGTCACAACCCTAATTAACAAATCCTTGGTGTCTGGATACATACCCAAACTTTGGAAGACTGCAAGAGTAGTGCCTATACATAAAAGTGGGGACACTACTTTGGTTTCTAACTATCGCCCAATATCATTGCTCCCAGTATTGTAACAAATCTTGGAAAAATGCTTCCAGATGCAACTATGTGAGTATTACCATCACTCTAACTATCTGACCGCTGATCAATCGGGTTTTCGTCCGAATCACTCCACTACAATTGCCCTCTTAAAAGTTTGCAATGACATCCAATCTGGCACGGAACAAGGAAACCTAACTGGAGCTATTTTCCTTGATTTTGCAAAGGCTTTGACATAGTAGACCACGACATTCTACTGCACAAACTAAAAAACTCAGGTATTGGTGATCGTCCACTAACCTGGTTCCCATCACATGTATCGGATCGCTTACAATATGTGTCCATTTCTGACTGTGACTCCCTCCCAATACTAGTCACACGTGGTGTTTCCCAAGGTTCCATTCGTAGCCCCCTACTATTCACATTATATATAAATGATCTGCCTAATGTCTGCAAATCCTCAAATGTAAACATGTACGCAGATGACACAGTAATCTATGCGAGCAAATCCAATTTACCGCAGCTTGAGGCTGTGCTCCAAGACCAGTTTACAGAGATAGAAAAGTGGATCACAAAAAACAAACTCTTCCTAAACACTGACAAAACTGTCACAATGATCTTTGGAACAGTACTTAAATTACACAAATTACACAATTCCCATCTATCAATCAAAACAAAATCAAATAGCACACTGACCACAGTCCACTCTTTCAAAAACTTGGGTATGCTGTTAGATCTTTTGGTCTCCACATAGAAAAATTTACATCTAAATTTTATCCAAAACTAGGTGCCCTGTCAAGAAACAAATCCTGCCTAAACCCTACAGTAATGGAAAAGATTGTACAGCAAATGCTGATGCCAATCATTGATTATGGGGATGTAGTATATGCACCTGCACCGCAAACCCACCTTAATAAACCTAATACATTGTATAACTTATTCTGACATTTGTGCTACAATGTAAGTAAGGGACCCACCAGTGTGACATGCTTAAAGAACTAAACTGGCTGTCGCTGGAATCCAGACGCACCCTTCATCTTTCCAGCCTTGTGTTTAAGAGCTTTTCTGGGAAGCTCCCACCCACCTGAGCAGAATGCTCTCCCCGGCTGTTCCCACCTCCTATAACCTCCGATCCAGTACCAGCACTTTATTTAGTCTAACTAAATACAAAAGGAAAGCAGTCCGATCCTCCTTTTCCTACAGAGCACCGCAATTATGAAACGACCTCCCGCACACTGTCAAATCTTCCCCAAGCCTAGAGTCCTTTAAGAGATCCCTCTCTATATACCTCAAACCAGAATCCACCTGTCATGATTGATTATATATTTTCTACCTGTTCTATGTTATATTTTGTATATATTGTGTATTAATATTGTTTTTGTATTTTATTGTACCCTATTGTATCAATGCAATGTTTTGCATAATAAAATGACAAAAATAAAATAGCAACTAAGAGAGAATAGATTTTAAACATAAACTTATTAGAAATATGCTCATGGTATTTTAAAAAACATAAGACTCAATCTCACCAGACATTTGAAAAGCCAAATAACATATAACATATTTTATAGAATGACACCATTAAAATGTAAAGGAAAAACAGGTCGATTGAAATACTTAGAATTTTGTTACATTAACCTTTTTAGTGCCAGATATGTCTATCCCTCTGGCGCTCAAAATTTTAATAACAGCCTTAAGTAAAAAAAGAAAAGAATTAGAATAATCAATGGTGTTTGAAACAGCATTGTTGTTCCATCAAAGATATTTCTTTTTTCTGAAAACCAATGAAAAAAAGTTCTTGTGCTTCAGATGACCTTTGCAAAATATTTCAAAATAGATGCGTGAAAGATAAATGTACAAAGTTATTCCATAAAGCTGAAATGGTTTTGCTCATTTCGGTCACAAAGAAATGTTGAGAGAAAGCAATGTTTGGAGTTTATTCATTGCATTAAAAGTTTCATAATCTTTTAAGACATCAGTGGAGGGAGAGAAGGAAGAGAAGGAAGGAACGAGGATCCTCCCGATACATATGTCCTATACTTTTATCTAGAGATGCATTGTCATTCCCCTCTCTCGTTCTCATTTCCTATCTCCCCAACTCCCTTTCTCATTCTCTTCCCTTCCTTTTTGTGTCCTTTGTCTAAAAAAAAGACAATAATTTTTAAATTTGTGCCATAGTTAGAATCTCTATATAACTTTTTCCACTTATATAAAACCTATGCTAATACTTTTTGTACCTTTCCATATTATTCCCCTTATTCTTTTCTCCCTGCTTCCTCCTCTTTCCTTTTCCTACCCTCTCTCTTACCCTTCTTTTTTTGCATTTGTGAGTTGAGTGCTAATTTATTTAATGTTTAAAATAGTCAGTGCTGCTTGGTGAACTTGACTTGATAAATATACCTCCTCCATCACTTTATCCCTTATTTATTATCTAATAATAGTGATTTTTAGCGTTTTATGCCTTTACCACCAATATAGGGACTACCAACCTTTTCATAATGTATCTGTTAATGTAATGTTAAATGCTACAGCCTTGTGTTTAAATATAAAAATATATGGGAAATGTTTTACTAATTTAAGCATTTTAAAGGATCGGGGAGTACAATCGTATCCACAAAGCTTACTGGAGGCCCCAAAGTAAGATTTTCTTTTTCAGTTCATGTTCTTGTTTTCTCCATTCGCGACTATTTTTTTTCTTGATGCTTGCATTATCATCTCTTTGAGATAATAGTTGGTAAATCTCACTATAACATCCCTGGGTAAAGATGGATCAATGCCTTTGGGTTTTGAAGCTCAATGAGCTCTATCGAAGGGATATTCACCCATTTCCTGAGGAGAAATAAATTCTTCAAAAAAATTCTTAAGGAGTTGATTGTTTCTGGAATTCCTCTAAGACGAATATTCTTGCATCTTGCTATGTCTTCTATATAGTTTATTTTAGTCTCCAAACTTTTGATTTTAAGCTCCAGTTTTGAATGAGAAATCGGACACATCTTATATTCTTCTTGAATTGAAGTTAAAATATTTGCTTGAGCATTAAGATTTTCTACTCAAGAGGCTATTTCAGATCTCAAATCTCCAGAGTTGAGCTCTGAGATGTACATAACCTCGCCACAGGCTCCTGGAAGAG